ACTGGTAATTATATACTAATGTTCAACTTACAGCAAATAACAAACGAAGTGATCTATTTGCATACACGTAACAGTTATTGTTAAAAGAAATCGACCCAAAGAAACTATTTTTTGGCTTTTTAATAGCAATGCAGTCTACAAACTGAACACAAAAATGGGAACATGTTCAAACAAACATACATCTTTCTGCTTCTAGACCCTATCTCAAAATCAGTATAGTTTAGCTATTAAGGCGACTGTCACTACCGTACCCAGTTTTTCCTCCGGATAGTATAATTATAATACTTCCTTTCAAGTGCGAACTAGAGCTTTGGTCAAACTGTGACTAAATACTGTGGTTAATTTTTATTAATTTTGTCCATTTGATCTTTAGAACCGTAATCGTAAATAACGATTCTAAAACCTTATGGTAGGTCAATTTTTATTGCTCAACTAAACTTTTGTTTCGAAAGAACCTTGACTCCAAAGCTAATTCTCTCGTAGTGTCATTTTATATCTTTATGCACGAAATCGTGCTCAGCTGCTCCTCGAATAGCTTCGGTTTTAAAAGCATTTATCGTTTTATTGCCGTAAATATAAGGACGAACACCTTCCGAGACATGTATTTCAGCTCTATGGAGACTCGTGGTAGATAACGCATATCCACGATCTCTGACTGAAGAGAAGACCACTAAAAAGTTGGCGGATTCGCAGTTATCTCTTTAAAATAAGAGATGATATAATATAAGAGACGGCTGAGAATTTTACTTAAGCATTTCGAAGCGTCGTGATTCCATTTGAAGTGCGGGGTGACGCGGAATTATTCTATCGGAGCGAAGACGATTTGTTTGTGTAGTGTAGCGTTAAAGAAATTGCAGTAAAGCATAAAGCACGCGGAAAAAATGAGAAATACGACCGTATATGTGCATATAAATCACACGAACTTGTCGACATTTCTCCTTCTATTTATTTAAATTTTTATGAAAATTATGAAAACTCCTGCTGAGTTATGGAAATATTTTCTAGGACTAATATCTCGGAACATATTAAGATTGATGTACGATGAAAACAAAAGGTCCAACCTTCACGGACTTGAATTACTTTAATTAAAAAAATAGAAACTAATTTATTATCAAGTCTACATCATTTTTAACCATGATCCTAACAAAATTATGTGTAATTACATTATTCATCAATCGTTGCATTTTAATATATTACATTACTTAACTTTCTATATAATATACTATACAATTTTAAACATTTTTAACTTTCTATAGGATAAGTTATAGTAATCGCAAAAAAAATTAAAAGGATTGGCCGTGACTTTGCCGGATTTCACCTTGTATCCCGTGTTATTTTAAAAGCATGATTTGTACCGGAATTAGATCTTTTGTCCCGGATTGTCCCGGTTTTTTTAAAAATTAGCAGATGAATTAACAAAAATTATGAAAACAAACAAACAAGTGCTAAATTTTTCAAAATATTTATGAATAAAATTGAATAGAATATTATACTATAATAATAGAATATTATAATAAATAAAGTTCTTACTAAAAGTCCGAAATTCTTATAAAAGAAAAGATTTATATAAAAAAGCGTTATTATACCGTCCCGGATTAGAATAACTAAAAATTGCCGTCCCGGTTTTGACTTTGAAAATTATGGTCACCTTATTATTTTGGTTTCAAAAATTTCTGAACATTTCAGCATACCTTGGAGAAAATCTAGGTGTATGTATATATGTATATGTGTGGATACAATGTTTCGTCGACGTTTTTGGGTGCACCGCTTAACCGACTTCAATGATTTAAAAAGCAATCAATTCCTATTGATAAGCAGACATGCTGATTAGTTTTTGGCAAAAGTTTTATAGTCGTTTCGGAGATACGGAGCTAAGAGTGTAGAAAATGGAAATCAAGTCTGTGAGAGAACGGAGCATCCGAATTAAATAATTCGAAGAACATTCCACTTGTATAGACGTAGTAAAAAATTAACAAATTTTTTTATTGGTTTTGGAGATCCAGCAAAAACAGTTTAAAAAATGTCATTTGGCGGTCAAGAATCAGATCTTTCGACAGTGTGGTTTACCCGACATAAATAGGTATCAAAAACTTTCAAGAACTTTTAAAATTTTCAAACATAAGAAAAAGTCAGCTTTCCTGCAACAGTAAGTGCATTTATTAATTATGAGTGTGAATTGATGATTAAACATCATTTCCTACGTTAATGAGGATTGATTGGATGATATTGAGGATGAAATTTACTATGGATTTATTATACAAAAATGTCTATTGTGTGATTTGAGAATTCTTGTAATATTTTATACAATTTTCTTTTAAACTTAACTAAATGTCAAACAGATCGCGATTTGTCAGTTCTGAAAGATCGGTTTATTTGTTGTCGCTAGTGGTGAAACTAAAGATGATATGACAGAGTGGGCGCGCCCGGGAGGGTCAATTGCCCCATTGACCCGAGCGTGACGTCCGCGCTCTTCTCCGTTGCCAACGAGCGAATCACCGCTTATAAAAGACTTATATTGTCCTGAAGACTTATATTGCCCGCTCACATCTTTAAATAGCGAATAGTCGTATGAAAGCGAAGAATCATACTGATCGTCACTAGACATGATCTGCTATGATTTTCAAATAGACTTCAAGTGGAACGAAATTTTGATCCCATGATACCCAATAGAATGGATTTTACGAACAGTAAGGCGATTGATTCGATTTTAAATGCGTTTTAGAAAACCTTCGAGTCGTTTAAAAGAATATCGTTTAAAATAAAGGCAAGCACTTCATACATAAGGGGCCGTCTATTAAATACGCGAGCGAGATTTTAAGGATTTTTTGACCCCTCTTCCCTCTTGGTGATACATTGTGATATTCAAAATTAACCCCCCTACCCCACCAAACATCACGTGTATTTTTAGTTACGTGAAAAAACTGTAAAATTTTTCATTTTTTTTTTTAAATGTTTGAATTTCTTTAAAAAATTAGTTAAAAAATAAATACACGTGATATGTTACTATACCCCTCTCTCCCCCACGTGATATTTCGTGATTTTTTGTCAAACCGCCTCTCCCCCTTAAAACCTCATGTTATTAATGGACGCTCCCTAGATGTTCATTATTTACTGAGCTTCATTTCTTCTTACAATGTTAATAAGTACAATTAAATATACTAAAAAAATATTATAATAATGAAAAAATTAAATAAAACGTAGTTTAGGCATGCTCTACTCTTACAAACAATTTACTATTCATGACGTCGATACAAAATTCATTGTGTTTTTGATATTATTATTATATTATGTTTAATATATTATTATTACTATTATATTATTACATCTTATAACAACATATAAATATGTTGTTTTTTCATACATTTTTATTCATGACTTCGACAAAAAAATTCGTAAAAAAATAACTCGAATATTCTGTAATTCTGAAAATTAACAAAAAAAATCTGAGCAGTTTTTTACTGAAATTATTTACTGTTCAATTTTAGTGTTGATTTTTTTATGCAAACTAGTAGAATAAACATTTTTTGACTGAATTTATTTACTGTTCAATTTTATTGATCATAATTTCATGTAAGATGAAAAAACAATTTAATAGTTGAGCAGGATTAAATATAAAATGTTGAATGAATAAATATAAAAACAAAATTATTTTGCATAATATTTACATAAAAGACTTAATTGCATATTATATCATGTAAATTTTAATAAGAGCTAAAAGGTTAATAGTTAATTTAACTTACTAAGATCAATTTTAGTTTTGAAGACAGTTGAGCAAACGACTGAGTATTTTCTATTCTGCATGGGTGCTTTCATTAATCTGACAGATTTGGTTAGATTTGTCAATTGCAGCTTTTTTTGTGTCATTTAAATATTGAAAACCGATATTTTCTATTAATTTTGTTTCGATTGAAAAAGTATGTTTAAAAAAAGGGGTTTTGAAACCGGCTTTTAAAAACTAACAAATTCTAATATAATTATAATTAGATCTAATATATATAATATAAATAATATAATTATAATTAATTCTTGTAAACTATCACAAAAGCCAAAAGGTAAGAGTAAATTAAGATTATACATATAAACTTACTAAAATCAATTTTAGTTTTAAAGACAGTTGGGCAAACGTTCGAGTATTATTTATGTTGCAAGGGTGCTTTCATTAATGTGACCGATTTGGCTACATTTGTCAATTGCAATTTTTGGGTGTTATTGAAAACAGATATTTTGTATAAAAATTTGTTTCGAACTGAAAATATATGTCTAAAAAAGGGGTTTCGAAACCAACTTTTAAAAAATAACAAATTCTATTTATGATCATGTACAAACCAAAAATAACATTAATTCTTGTATCTATAGCTCTCAAAACAGATAAATGTAACTGGAAAAATAATTGAATTTTAGTTACATTTTTAGTGCAAATACTGTAGTATAATCAGGTAGGTGATGTCTATGTATGAATGCATGTGTGTCTGAAAACAGTGGAAATATATGAAAGCGAAGAAATGTTTCGGAGAAAATGCGTAAAATATTAAACACATGTCCGAAAAAATACGATCTATCAAAACGCATAAAGAATTCAGAACCCATTCCCGTTCTAGTTACATTGGTTCTATCGTCCGTCCGAGGCGAGCAAGGTATTCGTACTGCAGTTGCACATTTACCTGTGATGGAATAACAAATGACTGGAAACTCCATTTGCATTATTCAGAACGTTTCAGCTTTCTGTACGGAAATGTTTCTGGTCTCTATTCGTATATTCTGTGCGTTTTCAACGTGGGCGTTTACTTAATTACTGTCCTTGTTCGTATTCTTTTTAATTACTAATTAGTAGTCAGGTAACGGTTAGTTTAATTAGATTTCTTACTCACCTGTGTGTTCTGTCGGCGGCATCTTTTCAATGTCTACTGTTTGTTGTTGAAAACTAAGACTGTTATCGTTTAGATATATTTTTGTAATGACTTTGTCATGATTTTTTTTTGATATATGTTTCTCTTTTTCAGGAGCAGACACTGGATGTATAGAAGCTTCAAGTTAGTTAATGTAAGTCCTTTGTAATAAGCTGATACATAATAACTGATAGATAAACTTATCTTTATTATTTGTTGAAGATATATTAATTATATACTATATTTGTTTATAATTAACGCAACTCTTTATTAATTAAATTACTAGTTTTTATTTTTAGTAATTTTTAAACCTGTCCTGAATTGGATAAATTTTAATAGTGAATATTTTCTCTGTTTTATGAACGTGGATTTTCGTGGTGCTTCTCACCGTTTTTTTTTTTTTTTATTTTATATGGATAGTGTTACACCACATATGGTAATATTTTTATAACCAGAGTCCTAAATTTGTTTTTTAAGCCGGCAGTAGAAGTATCTTATGAATATTCAAATATTTTATATTTGTTTTTACTAATTACTCTATCTCGTCAATCAACGCCATAAGGGGAGTAACATGCTTTTTACATATTCGTTTTAATATGCAAATTCAAATTAGGGTCACGATTGTAATAATATAAATGATGAAGGCAATTCAAGTTGAAAGTTTTAGTTCCCGTCATAAAATACGGTATAATTTTATAATTATCATTATTACGCAAAGCTCGAAGTTTCCGTACATTATACTGTAAAGGAGCGCAGGTTCTAGATAAATTGTAATGAAAGAGCGGGAAAGCTCAACTTAAATGGTCACATTACTGTAGGTTATGAATTAGTTGGTACTGCAATTGCTATTTATTTAAATAGTTTGCATTAAATATATTATTCCATATTTGTCATGATTTCATTATACTCACTAGACTCTGGCAAGCTTATATTTTAAATTAATATACTTGTCCTATTTAGTTTCTTCACGACTTCAAGTTATCATCTTCTATAATAATTTTTTTTAATTAATACTAAAAGTTAAATTAATTTACTTCATTCTTGTCAAATGCTATCAATGATTTTTATAACTTAATTCGGTTATTTAGTTTAATTCAAGATAGGAATATAAATTATATTATTCAGATACTCTAGAAATCTTATTTAAAGATGATTTTTAGATATCTTATCAAAAATTTCAGTTCACTCAATTTAATTATCATAACATGCAGAATTTATCTTTGTTTAAAATAATAGCGAAAATTTATCATACAATATTAAATAAATATACATTTTTTACCATAACCTACCATAAATTTTAACTATATTTGCGGCATTTTACGAAATTCATTTGTTAATAAAATTAAAACTTACTTTACCTATAATTTTCTGTGATGTTATTATATTTTTAGTTATAATAATTATTTTGGAATCTTTGAACTAATAGTGCTTTTGATTTGAATTGGAAGTTTCCATAGCTTATACAGCTTTATATATGCAAATTTTGTTTGATGATGACTTTATATAAGTAATGTATTCGCAAACCATTTTTTTCGTATTTGAGGATATAATCTTAAATACATTTAATGAATAAGGATACATCGTAGATATACAACTTAGGGGGCGTCTATTAATCACGTGATCATTTTTTTAAGGATTTTTTTCTTCCTCCTTGGTCATACGTGGTGATATTCACAATTACCCCCCCCCTTGCCCCAGCAAATATTACGTGCATTTTTAGTTCCGAAAAAAATGCATTTTTTTAATTTTTTTTGAAAATGTTTGGATTTTTTTTACAAAAAGTCAGGTGAAAAATAAATACACGTGATGTTTTGTGATTTTTTGTTAAATCCCCCCTCTTCCTAAAAGCCTCACGTGATTATTGGACGCCTCCTTACATTATGTTGAATTTCGCTCATAAAGAAAACCACAGGTTTATTTTGGAATTTTTATTAAACTTCGCACTGTGATAGTTAAACAGAACATATTGAAATATTATAGGCCTATGATAAGCGGTTTAATTATAAAAATTAATTAAACTTTGAAAAAGTCGACCGCGCGCAATATATAAGCTTACAGTACTCCATGTCTCGTTAGCTCATTGGGTTTATGACAAGTAGCACTAAAATTGAACTCTTATAAATAAATTGAATCACAGAGTAATTATTATTTTAGTACAATTATCAAAAATGAATACAAATAGCAACTAAAATATTGTTTAAAGAAAAATCTTGAAAATAAATTTCAATAACCAAAATATTGATAAGAATAATTACTGCCAAGAAATTATGATAATGAATGAGAATTGTTGACGAAGATCGAATATTGTATGTGCGTTACGTAGTTATGAAATTTCTTGATATCTCAGGTTGTTGAGTTATAATTTAACCCTTGTAGTTGTGGACTGTATTAAACACTGATTTGTTTAGCATTTCTATATATTTGTTGAGGTTCTAACTACAATCACTGATTTGTTACTAAGTTATAATGAAAGAAGATATATTTATAATTTATTATATATGTTGTTTTGCGGACTTCACTTAGTCCCATTAAAAGCTCCGCTAGAGTCCCTACCAGGTGTAGAAACCATTCTGTATAAAAGCTCGTCATTTTCATGGCCAATATAATAAAACGAAAATACGTCCAAATATTTCTAGGCCGTTGTAGAATATGCATTCAAAATCAAATGCCGTTTAAAATACCAATTTATCGACATCATATTATTTATTAAGAGAAGTGATTCTCGTTGTATAGCCACCGAAGAAAGTATGTATTTTCTCTGAACACACGATCGAGCACGGAACGACAAGTACTGCGAGCGACTCCCGGAATGATTTCGCTTCGCCAAGTGCTACAGAAGGCGGTTTTAGAGCATTTCGCACACGCGACGTATATTCAAAAGGCCTTTATGAAAATCAAGCGTAAAATTGAATGCCTCCGCCGTTTTAGAGTTTCAGACCATGGATGAAATGATATAATTTCGCATCTTCATGGAAATACCCCTTCTCCATGAAGTTAATGGGAATACATTGAATCTCATTAACAAACTGATGCGTAGGCCAACAAGAAGGATTATGTATTGCATGCTCGAGAGTTCTATTAGGAATAGATGGAAATACATACTATAAATAGATGATCATTGGATTGAGTGTGTCTGTGGATTTCAAAGATATTCTTGAATAATACTATTAACTATTAATTATTTTCAGATACATACTACGTATATACGTTAAAGTACCTACTCAACAAATCGTCTTGCAAATGATCCGTAAATTGAGCTAAAATTATGTGATTGACAATATGGTTATTACATCCTTCAAATTAATAATACTAGTACGTACTAGTGACTATTCAGTTCAAATCAAATTAAATACAAATTTACATTTTCTGGAAGCTGATACGAATTCTACTATCAAATGTACTTAGGCTCGCCCGAACGTAAACAGTTAAGAGCGACGGGACTTCTTTCAGAGGTCTCGGGTTCGACACCCACTTCGAGCCTGTTGTCAGGCAACAGTGACAACGATTTTCACTTGGAAATATAGATAGCAATATGTTTCCAAGTGAAAATGGCCCCCACCCGGCATTGCTGCACCATACTCGCCCTATTACAGACATTGTAATAATAATTATTCATACAGAGATATGACAACTGTTTGGGTTGCCATCTTTCAAACAGACTAGCAAAATCAGCACAACAGCTTATAGGACTATTAGGTTCTTATTGCAGTTCAAAAATAAAAAAAAGCAAACAAAATGTACTTTTATGTTAGTCCCATTTTAAGTTATGTATTACATTTTCTAACAATTTTTCAAACTAATGTCTTTATTTTGTCAGCATAATATTTTGTTTTATTATATCATTTTTTTAAATTCATATATTTTTGAATGGCGATTAGAACTTAAAAGTCATAATATGTTCCGATGATGTACTTAACTATGTAGATTTTTCAGAAGGCGATCTAAACAGTTGTCTCACCTCTATGCGATGAATTTCATTATTACAATTCGTAATAGTCTTGAATTTATTATTGATGCAGTAATACCGGGTAAAGGGCTATTTTCACTTGGATAACGTATTGCTATTCTATATTTCCAAGTCAAAGATGATGTCACTACTGCTTGACATCAGGCTACTCGATTATCAAACTTTTTGATTCAAATCTAATCGCTCTAACTTACCTACAAGCGATTACTTTTATTTTCTTTTTTTATTCTCTAAATTAATTTTTATAAATACCAATAATTTAAATATATCAGTCGTCTATATTTAGTTGTTCACAAATATCGCAAAATTATTCCGATTAGTGGCCCCAGACGTAGTTGTTTCTTATATTCCTTCATCTTTGTGAGTATGTTTCAAAATAGAATTAAACTCATTTCCTCGCAAGCTTAAAATTCAATTTTCGTTGTAAAGCCTTTTTGCGATGACCTACCCTTCTTATATCGGATTAATCCTCATTTGAAGGTTTCATCTTATTTTAGAATCACTAGAATCGTCCGAATTGAAAGTATTATAGGATTTTGTTGATCTTACCATGATTCTTGAATTAAGTAAACAGGAATCGCATACATGCCGGTACAAGCAAAGGGAGTTTGCAAAACAAATAAAGAATATTTGACCTAGTATGTAACTCTGCGAAAGAACTGAATCAAAACTGTTTCAGAAGAGGAAATAAAATAGTATTAAAAGTTGAATTCTGAGAACCAACATGCATATATTATTAGAGATTTTGTTCTGAACACGAGTCTTTCTCAAAACTTTGTTGATGGGAATTTTGTAAACGCGTCGCCGCTGAACAGTAGCGGTCTTTATCTTTATCTCGTCGACTCTATAATTTATTTGGGTAATAATTCTGCGCAATAAAATTCAGAAAATCTCGAGATTGGGATCTGTTTATATGACTTAAATTTATCGTTTTATTTAAAGGAAACTAGATGTACTTTTGGCATTATTATCACTTTATGGCGATTTATAGTTCTAGAAGTCCAATTTCAGAGCTTATCTCTACATTTACATTTTAATACGATTCATTTTAAAGGTCGTGTGATGGTGTAACTTAGAAAATTTAAGTAATATTCTCGCAATATCTTTGAACAAATGACTAGTTGTACAGACGTTTTATAAAGTTCGAAGGTAATGGGTTCTTCAAGGTTCTGCAAATACTCTGTCAA